ATGAAAACAAGTTCCACTTTCTCGATATCTCAATAAAATGAAGGAAGGATGGTACAGTTCAACTTTCAGTTTATAGGAAATACACATGGAATGGAATTTATCTCTATTTCAACAGCTTTTGTCTAATTGGTTACAAAAAGGTACTTGTTAAAACGCTATAAGACAGAACAAAAAGTATATGTTCTGTCGATACGCTAGAAGAACGAATAAATATTAAAAAGTGTTTAAGAAACAACGGGCAACCCTGAAATTCATTGAGAAATATACAAAACGTGAGGATAAAAAACTGATTGTCCTGTCCAAAACAACATGTTCTTTAAAACAATCAAAGGTCGATAGGTATCCCCTTCATATTACCACTAACTATGTATACAAAATCACGTGTATCTTCCAAAGCAGTTACATTGGTACAACAGAAAGGAGCCTACGTCCGATTCAAAGAACATATTCTGAAATCCAAAAAGAAGAAGTGAACAATCTTTCTTTGCCCTAATAACATTCCATCCTTTTTATTGCGTCAATCATTATTTCAACTCTTTCTGAAATTTGATTATATCGTTGTCGTTTTTCTTCAATTCATAACTGACTGGTCTCAATTCATATCTTTTTTTATTACCAATAATCTGTTTTCAGTTGCTTTGTTACACAATCATCTAATGTTTGCTAACTTTATGAGTCTTAACTATTAATTCGGTGTAATAGAATTTTCCTTCTCGCACTTTTATTTATCCGAAAGAAACAATTTTTAATGACCCTGTTAACACTATCGGAATCAACATAACATCATAATACACATATTCATACTAGATAAGCTATAAATTTGGAAATCAAAGATCCTTTGTAAAAAAAACCCACTGAATAATGTTTCCCTAAAACATAGAATATACAACTAAAAACAATAGATTACTTAGCTGAGGGTTCGAGTATCAAAGTACGTTCTTTGAAATGCAAAAGAGGTACAACTGAAATATTGTCTATTTCATTTGATTTGAGAAGCAAGTGTAATAGTGTTGGGTTCAAAATGTAAAAACTGCAGATCCAAAGTTCAGGTAAAGGAGGAAGGATGAGAATGTAATCATCAAATCCATCACGTAGAAAACAACTTTGCTGAAAAACGCTAACCTGAATAAACAAATTAAACAATTAAAACTCTGCCCTCCGATTTGAAGGATATTCATTTTTCAAAGCTCGGATTATGTTAGAAATTTGGTCCGTTGAAGTCCAACTCATCTAAAGGTACTGTAGTCGCTAAAAGACCTGAATGCTCATGTATGAACACAGTTGAACAGTCTCAAATAAGAATCAATCAAATGTTCAGTGCTATTCAGCTGTACATTGTTTACTATTAACCTGAAAATGATGTATATGAAGGACGAATTCGGCTGAAAAAAAAATCTAGATTTTCCTTTTAAAAACGCACAAAATATGCTCTAGAAATGTTTTTAGCATTCAGAAACGCGACAGAAATGTCGATAAGAACAACAAGTAACCATTCCAAAGTCAAACACTGTCCTTAGTAAACAAACAATGTGTATTTTGGTAATGCTCTTCAGTTATAAAAACACACGTTCAAGTATTATGCCTTATGTTCGTGCTCAAGTAGTCATTTCGGGGGTCAGAGCATAGCACACCGTGTATCAGTATCAAATTTTTGACACCACCCATCACAACAGTTTCTGGATACGTTATTTTCATCAAACCCAAGCAAAAATAAATTAAATATCAGAATTTCTATTTCAGTAGATTAGCGTAGGTCAATTTTGCGGCAACAACAAAGAAATTTCAAGCATCACAATCGAAAATGGTCGAAATGATGACACAAATGTTGTCAATTCAAGAAAACTCAGTAAAGGTGCCCAAAATAAGGGACTCAACTACAAGATCACTGGTCATTACAATGAACGAGTTTCATTTTGATTCTAGTACAGGTATCACATTTCAATCATGGTTCAAGAGATTTTCCAAAATGATTTTACACATCAAGGTAACACTTCGAAGGTGAGAAATCTACTTCGGAAACTTGGAGTAACTGAACATAAAAGGTATTCAAATCTTATCTTGCCAAAAAAGCCTAACATTTTTTTCATCCTAATGTACAAAAATCAACAGAGATTTTCACTATTCAGACTTCTTTATTTAACTTGCGATAGAATTTTCTTAGAATTGATAAAAGATCTGAAGAAGAATTTGTTTCATATGCTACATTTGTTAATAACCAATGCAAAACTTTTAAATTGAGCTTATTTCCAAAGGAACAACTTAGGTGTCTAACTTTTGTATGTAACTACACCTGTGGCTCTTCTGGGGTTGCTGCAGTTTCCGGGAGGATTAATCAAATGGCTACGGGAATGAGGAGATACAACTTAACGGTCCTCGGAATCAGCGAAACCCTTACTTACTTACGCCTGTTACTCCCAATGGAGCATAGGCCGCCGACCAGCATCCTCCAACCCACTCTGTCCTGGGCTTTCCTCTCTAGTTCCATCCAATTCTTGTTCATTTTTCTCATATCTATCTCCATTTCTCGGCGTAATGCGTTCTTCGGTCTTCCTCTTTTCCTTTGGCCTTGAGGATTTCATGTGAGGGCTTGTTTTGTGACGCAGTTCGGTGCTTTCCTCAATGTGTGTCCTATCCACTTCCAGCGTTTCTTCCTGATTTCTTCCTCCACTGGGATCTGGTTTGTTCTCTCCCACAGTAGGTTGTTGCTTATAGTGTCCGGCCAGCGGATCTGAAGTATTTTGCATAGACAACTGTTAATAAACACCTGTATCTTTTGGACGATGGATTTCGTAGTTTTCCAGGTTTCCGCGCCATACAGTAGAACTGTCTTGACATTTGTATTGAAAATTCTGACTTTGGTGTTGGTTGCTAATTGTTTTGAGTTCCAGATATTCTTTAGTTGTAGATATGCTGCTCTTGCTTTGCCAATCCGTGCCTTCACATCTGCATCGGATCCACCGTGTTCATCGATGATACTGCCCAAATATGTAAAGGTTTTTACATCTTCAAAGCTTCTCCGTCAATTGTGATTGGATTGTTACATGTTGTGTTGTATCGAAGAATCTTGCTTTTTCCTTTGTGTATATTGAGACCTATTGCTGCTGAGGCTGCAGCTACACTGGTTGTCTTCTCCTGCATTTGTTGTTGCGTATGCGATAGAAAAGCCAGATCATCTGCGAAGTCTAAATCATCCAATTGCATCCTAGCTGTCCACTGTATCCCGTACTTCCCTTCAGATGTTGACGTCTTCATGATCCAGTCGATCACCAGCGAAACCCATTGGACCCAAACTGGACAGAAAAAATTGGATTCAGAAGAGATGCTGTTGTACTCTGGTCATGAAGAAGTAAGTACTTCGCACACGCACGAAAAGCGCTTAAAGGATGGGAGTCTGATGGATCCAGGATCATCAAAGTATCTTTCAAAATAAAGAAGGGAATCACAATCAGTGTTATCCACACACCAATTATAACAATGAAGACGATCAGTCTTATGAGAGGCTGCAATCGATCATAGCGAAGTGCTCAATAAAGGACCTGACCATCCTGATGGGAGACCTAAACGCAAAAGTCGGGATGGACAACACTGGATATGAAGATATCATGGGACGATATGGACTGTGAGAAAGGAACGAGAATGGTGACAGATTTGCAAATTTATGTACACCCAGCAAAACGGTTATAGACGGCACAATATTTCCCCACAAACGCAAAGCTACATGGCTCTCACCGGATCACACTACAGAGAATCAGGTCGATCATCTTTGCATCAATAAAAATTTCAGATCAATGGGAAACGTGAGAACCGGGAGAGGAGCTGACATAGCTTCAGATCACCACCTGATCGTGGCTGCTACGATAAAGAAGCAATGGAGAGCTGGGGAAACAGCATTACAAAGGTTCAATATAGTCTTCCTTCGAAATCCTGACAAACTCAACGAATTCAAGATAGCTCTCAACAACAGCTACCAAGCCTTACAAGATCTACTCAAAGAAAAAGAAACTACAAGCGGAAAAAGCTACAAGGGAAGGAAATATGAGACAACTGTATGATACAACGAAGAAACTGGCAGGGAAATATGGTAAGGCAGAGAGACCGGTCAACAACAAAGAAGGCAAGCCAATCACTCAGATTCAGAACCAAAAAGGCAGGTAGGTAGAACACTTTGAAGAACTCTTGAAAAGATCAGTCCCACTGAATTCACCAGACATCGAAGCAAAACGCACAGACCTTCCTATAGATGTCATTGCACAACGGTCGAAGAAATCAACATGGCCATCAGACAAATCAACAGTGAGGAAGCAGCACGACCTGACAATATGCCACCTGAAGCGCCGAAGTCAGACATAGAGGTAACTGCAAACATGCTTCGCGTTCTATTCACGAAGATTTGGGAAGAAGAACAAGTGCCGATAGACTGGAAAGAAGGATATCTCATCGAGACACCAAAGAAAGTGGATCTCAGCAAGTGTGAGAAATACAGAGACTTCACACTACTATCGGTACCAGGAAAAGTTTTCAACAGAGTGTTGTTGAACCGAGTGGAAGATTCAGTAGACGTCCAACTTCGAGATCAACAGGCTGGACTCTGTAAGAATCGATCGTGCACACACCAAGTTGCGACACTACGGATCAATTGAATGGAATTCGTCCCTATACATTAACTTCTTTCACTATGAGAAGGCATTTGACTTAAACGAAAACTTTAGACGACAGGGTTCTGAAAAAACATCATGATTGATTTGTTCTAGAGTGATTTTTTAGGGATGAAGAGCCTCTGTTTTTCATAGACTGAATTTCAATTTTGATTACGGTGAGACCAAATTTGGTTTGGACGATTGGACTATGGCAATTGTGGGTCAGACGCTCAGGTCGAAGGCTCGTGGTGTGGCCCCCGAAGTAAACCACCTGCTTCGGTTTGGGCACCCGGGCAGTATCACAGCCCTCACACAAATCAATTGAGATTTGTGTGGCGCATATATATTTGGTGCCTCCTTGTACCAATATCTATGTGTTAAAATAAATGAAATAAAAAATTGTAGTATTTCTAGCCTTCATCCTTTAAATAGGAATCAAAAGTTATTATGTAAACCTGTACTTGGCAAATGGAAAGGATTGTCCAGGACGGATTTCGATGGCGAATCCTGGTGGGCGTCATATGCTCCTCCTCGAATAGTAACAGGCGTAAGCAAGTAACTGTTCTATAATTCATAGCCAGTCGTCATATATCAAATGTACATTTTCAAACTAAAAATGATCTCTTCATAGGCAAACTCAATGCCAGAAGTAATGCTATGCCTACACTAACGACTAATAATCAGATGGATCTATATACTTTTATGTGTGTTGAGGACGTTAGATCCCTAGAACTCACTTGGAAATTTAAATTTCTTTGTTTTCGAGCCAAAAGCGTTCTTTTCACCTTCATGTCGTATTTCCCACTTGTCTATTCCTACCCCTATCACGTACATGACACGGCCTACTCTTCTGACCACTCGCGCTTCCGTTCATGGAACATGGGTTGCTCTGTAGTCACGGGCAAACACAGGACATCCCACTTCGTACGTGGATTGCTTTTCGGACTTTGTCTGTACTAGTGTGGATGCATTACTCGGATGCATTAGATTGTGGATGGTTTTCAGTCCTCTGCCCATCAGGATTTCTACTGGGGACTTTCGCTTTGGTACTGTCTCATTCAGTGTTGTCCGATAAACGAACAAGAAATTTTGTAACGCGTCGGCTGGTGTCCCCTCCCCCTTTGCCCTAACCAATGCTTTTTTAAACGTATACACAAACCTTTCCGCTTGCCTATTCGACTGCGGATGGTATGGTGGCGAACTTAAGTGCTTGATGGCAAGCCGTTGACAGAAAGCTTGGGACTGGCTACAGGTAAATTGCGACCCGTTGTCAGATACAATCACATCTGGTATGCCATTTCGGGAGAAAATTTCAGTGAGGAGCTGTATTGTTTTAGTTGAAGTGGGCGGCATTACAAGACTGATTTCTGACCATTTTGAAAAGGCATCGACCACAACTAAATAGACAGTCCCATTAATTGGGCCCGCGAAGTCGACGTGTATCCTGGACTAAGGATGATTAGGTTGTGGCCATGGAACTGGCGGGACTTTGGCATTCACCTTTGCTGCTTGCTGGCACCGAACGCATTTTCCAACCAACTCAGTGATATGTTGATCCATTAGGAGCCAGCATGCATAACTCCTGGCTATGGATTTCATTCGTCTAAACCCTGAATGACCAAGGTGGAACTGTTTCAGCACTTTTGCGCAAAGGGGCTCCGGCACAACCACTCCTTCTCCAAACATCAAGCAGTTGTTTACAATGCATAATGAATCCCGCCGCTGATACAGTTGTTTCATGTCACCATCCAACTTCCTAGACGGCCAACCGTTGGTGACATAGCTCATCGCCATCTTGATGATGGGGTCGTTCCTGGAAGCGCTTCGTATGTCCGTTGCAGACATCGGCAATGCCCGTATTGAAGTTGTCAGATAACATTCCGCGTGGTCTCCCCCTGACAGAGATGCGATTACCATGTTTTCCTCAGTCGCCAATTGATCATTAATGAGTCATGACAAAGCATCTGCCTGACCGAATTGTTGAGTGTGTCGGTATTAGATCTCGAAATCATACCCCAAGAGTACCAAAGCCCATCGTTGAAGACGATTTGCAGAATGGGCTGGAATTCCAGATTTCGACCCGAATATTGCGAGCAGAGGCTTGTGATCTGTGAGAAGCGTAAATCTCCCACCGTACAGAAACTTGTGGAAACGTCGGACAGCAAACACAAGTGCAAGAGCCTCTTTCTATCTGACTGTATTTCTTTTCTGCCGGGGTTAGTGTACGGGATGCATGCATAACAGCTTTTTCTGACGCGTCTGGAAACTGGTCTGAAATAACAGCACCTAGGTCATACGCTGAAGCGTCTGCAGCTACGATGATTGGCATAGATGGATTGTAGTGCGTTAACAACAATTCCGAGCTAATTATCTACTTGAGTTTACAAAACGCCGCATCATACTCTTTAGTCCAGTTCCAAGTGCAGTCCTTCTTCAGCAAACAATTCAATGAGGCGCGAATATCATGCATCGAAGGAACTAACGCTGCATAATAGGTAACAAGTCCCATGAAGGAACGTAGTGCCGAGACATTAGTGGGAGTGAGGATCAGTTTGATAGCTCGAATATCCTCAGGATTTGATCTGAGGCCGTCAGCATCAAAATCGAACAACAAATACTTTACTAACTGCAATAAAAACTGGTATTTGTCTGAGAGTAACCAGAACCCGTTGTCTGTGATGAGTTGCAGTATCATTGTCGTGCGTTCCTGTAGCTGTTCTAATGTCGTCGCAACAATTAAAATGTCATCGAGATAAACTTCAACCCCTGAAATACTTGATAGGATGGTATCCATCAGTTGCTGGAAGATAGAGGGGGCAGTCATGACTCCAAAAGGCAGACCGTTATACTGAAACAATCCACGATGAGTATTGATAGTAAGCAGCTTTCTTGATGCTTTATCTACTTCCATTTGCATGTAAGCATCAGCTAGATCCAGTTTTGTGAAAAACTTTCCTCCATTCAGAATAGTAAACAGATCTGCGGGAACTGGCAGAGGATAATGATGCTGTTCCAGAGCTGCATTGAGACCTGTAGAAAAGTCAGCATATATACGTATCGTGCCGTTGGCCTTCTTGATAACAACTATAGGTGCTGCCCAACGGGTGTAATAACTTCTTGTTGTTGAAGGCGATTCGATTCTTCATCTACTGTTGGTGATGTTGCGTGAGGCACGGGTCTTTTTGGGCGGAAAACAGGCTTAGCTCCAGTTTTCAACCGAAGCGTTGCATTCATGACAGAACACCGACTCGATTCAGGTTGAAAAATAGATGAACACTGAGTCACTAGTTTCCTCGTATACGCTTCAGGATCATGTGGATGTAATACCAGGTGGCATATGGTATTTAACAGGACATCAGCTAATTTTAGCTAGTCGAACCAATCTAAACCAAGTAAATTTAGATCAGCTGACGTTATGTAACATACCCCGATGAACGTCGAATCGTGAAAAGACACTTTACAATCTAGTTGTCCCAATAAACGTAGGTGATTACTTCATGCAGTACGAGGTTTTTGTGTTGTTGACACCGTGCGTGGTTTGCCCATTCTGATCCAAGATTTTCGTGAGAGAATTGTCACGTCAGATGCAGTGTCTATTTGCAATCTAAACAGATGCTCATTAATATTAAGGGTAATAAACTTCCTCTCACCTGGGGTTTAGTTCTGACAGGTTGCTACTAGACTCAACGAATTTGTACAGGATTTAGGGATAGGCTTCCTGGTGCTTCTGGAGCTGCTCGGCTTTTTTCTGACAAGACCCATCTTTATGACCCACAGCTTTACAATGTGGAAAAGATCTCGACCAATGAAGTTAACAAATTCGTGAGTGATATAAAATGCACCAAATAACAATATTGTTTAAGGGCTGAGATTCTGGAATACTCCTGCGCACAGTTTAGACACGCATTGAGGTTCTGTCACTTGCTGTTTTGCTTTGGAATATATTTACGTTATGTTCAAGTAGTGTTTTGATTTGAAAACCGGTCGACAGGAGTGAAGTGTCCAAGAATAATTGACCGCATAATCAAACTAAACAGTTTTCTAATTGATGCAATTTAACAATAAAAATTTTCTTCACATTACTCACTTTACATAATAACCACTGAACGAATAAATTTAGATATTTTTAAAGAGTGTATAAGTGAAAGAGTGAAAAAAAGTGAATTAATCCAACTTACCTAAAGAAATACCATGCAAAAGTAGACAAACAGCATCTGTTATTGTTTCGACTCGACGTAATGTGATTAACTCATTGACACGTGGTTGTTTTGTAGTTGAAATCTCCATAATTATTATATGACCTATATGAGCAGAAAAATGAAAAATGAAGCAAACAAAAGAAAACAAATAGATCAATATGGTAGCATGCAGAAAACACATTCACATAGGAAACAAAAAGTAATAAACCTTTTCATTCAATAATTAACCGTAAAATAAATGCAACAAACTTGATACGCAAAAATCTTAATCGATTGAAATGGTTAGAACATGTGTTACCTATGTCTAATCATTGCTTCCTTCAGTAAGCGATGCCTGATGCTATAAGAGTAGATTGGGAGAGTTAGGGGAGGTCAAACCAAAACATGGCATCAGTCCACGAGGCCACTGGGTGTTGGTCTGAGCCATGTTGGTAGATGCAGACTACCCGGTTGAGGTCCACGATCACTGGTTAGAAGCTTTAGATGACATGGCTCTGAATCGTTCACAAAGGTTGTAGACGTATTCACAATTTATCTTCCTTTCGATCCTGAAATCCACACTTACATATAAACCTTTTTATTGTCTTTTCAAGCGAATGTCTCAATAGTCAGTAAATCTCGTTATTATCACTACTATATTATTTCGACTGATTTTGCAATTCGTCACATCTTGCTAATGCGATGTGGTAAATTTGACAACGAGAAAAATTGCCAGGCTCAATATGTCGACAATGATTTACTATTTAACTGTACAAATTACGACGTCTCATTAAAATCGATGTGGGTAGGTCAGTCAGCTACAACGTAGGACCACGTGCACATATGCATCGGTTCAAGTTGCCACACCTCATTAGCACAACAAGCCGAACACCATATTCAGAGAAGCAGTTACTTCAATGATTTATTTATTTATTTATTTTAACACATAAGTATAGGTACAGGGAGGCACCAAATACATATGCGCCACACAAATCTCAATTGATTTGTGTGAGGGCTGTAATACTGCCCGGGTGCCCAAACCGAAGCAGGTGGTTTTCTTAGGGGGCCACACCCCGAGCCTTTGACCTGAAGATCTGATCCACAAGGCAGTGGAGCATCGTAAGGAGATGCAGTCCCATGGTAGCCGGTGACCAACGATTGGTTCATACGCCATTTGTTCCCGCAGGATACTGGAGCCCATGTGCACCATTGGTTTGGGGTCCGGTTAAAGCGCCAGACATTCGCTTTTCGTCCTCTCATTTTTGTAAACAACACCCCCGCCACGAGAAGGCAGTGAGTAGGACTTCCCTGGCAGAGGCTATATACGCATGGCCATGTGAGAGCATTTCGAGAGGGAGAGCGGACTTTCCCCACTCTCGGCCGTACCAGGGCATTTGGGGGCTACTTCAATGATAGATTACAGAAGAAAGATCGCATATAAGGATATAATACAGGGAAAAAGAATTAGTTCCTAGAAAGGTATAAAGTAATTTAAACTCATTTTTCAAGGGAAGACAAACAGTGTATACACTGACGTCATTATGATCGATTCTGAGCCATGTCACCCAGAGTCTCCAACCATTGGTTACGATAGTAACGATAGCAACAACTTGCATATAAAAGGGGAGAAACGCACTCCAAACATATTGGCATTGATGCTCAGTGTTACCAAAAGACTCAGTATTTTATCAGAATTTTCACCAAGGAGGACTATATCATCTGCATATTCTAAGTCAATAAGTGGATCTCGTGGAAGGAGATCAATGCCCGAAAATTCAGTCAATCAGAGCGTTATTTTCATCAGTATGTTTATGATGGAACTAAACAAAAATAGAGATAGTGGACAGCCTTACCGAACACCACTTGAGGTTGCGAAATCAGATGACAGTTCGCCATTAGCTCTGACTCGACTGGTACTTTTCGAGCAAGAAGCCTTCACAAGGTTTGTGAACTTTTGATGTATGCCTTTCAATGACAGACACTGCCACAGGACCTCTCGGTCTACAGATTCACATACTGCTGTTAAGTTAAGAGAAACTATCATTGTCCGACGCCGATAAGCATGCCTGTGTTCCGAAATCTGACAAATGGTGAATATATGGTCGATGCAGCCACGACCAGGTCTGAAGCAAGCCTGATTTTCTCGTGTTTGCAGTTCAGGAGTCTTAGTTAGGCATCCGATAACTATTGAGGCTAGTATTTTAGATGCTATATTGGTCAAACTAATCCCTCTATGGTTATCACAGGGTGATTTTGACCCCTTCTTATATATTGGGACAATCAGTGATTACGACCAGTCAGATGGAATTACATTCAGTTCCCACATTCTAGCTAAAATATTGGTCAACCTAGTCGCTAAAATTAGACCACCATCCTTAAAGACCTCTGGAGCCAATCCATCTGGACCAGCTGCTCTTCCTCGTTTCAGATTAGTTATAGTTTTGGAACTTCAACGAGAGTTGGGGGACCTACTTCAGTGTTCCATTCAGGCTGTTTGGAAATGAGAGTATACTTGGAACCCACAAATACGTTTCGAGATAATTTTTAAATAGTTGAGCAACAGCTTAGATACGCAGAAAGTAAGACGTGGAAGAAATGTACAGTTTTTAATATACCCAAACTAATCCAAATTACCATACAACAGTAATCGTAATTATTACCATTAAGATATTAGCTAAGCGATTGTTCCTAAGAGTAAAGAAAATCTGAAACCTAAATCTGCTTGTGACTGAACAGAAATACCGAAGTAAACCACGCAGGACGCACATATGTCAATCAATCGCAGTCCTAAACACCAATGGGAGGATCCAAACAAACAACATGAATGAATGAAAATTCATCCCATTACACAAGCCAGTGGCTATCTGGATTTAGTAGCTAAGTGAGTGACGCGTTAGGTGCTTGCAGCAAACAGGCTGGATTCGAGTTTCGGAGTGAACATCGACTCCGAGATGCAGGTACATAAAGCTGGTGAGTCGCAAACAGAATGAAACGCGCGTTCTGGATTTTACTGCTAGTCACCATCCATCTTTGCTTCTAATGATTATTATATAATAAGTAAAATATGTAAAAAAAGACGGTACTAAATCATCTGTCTTACCGTGACCAGGTGAAGGAACAGATTCACAGCTTAGTAAATTAAATGAAGCACCGACATTAACTGGTACACCAACATGACCATCCATTTCTGTAACAGTTCGTAGAATTTCCAATTCACCTGACTTCAAATTATCCGGTATTGTAAATTCTGTCCGATAAACTGTCGCTTGTTTAAGCATTCCAAGTTTTATTTCAAATACAGGTTTATCTTTCAATTCTGATGGCAAGGTCGGCATTTCATCGATATCACGACTCAATAGGCGGACTTCAATATGATGACCGGAATCATCGTCTTCACCGTAGATACCTTTGTCCTCAGTAGTGATACAAGATTGATGTAAGCCATCTAGTTGACGCTCTTCAACATTAATCACTAAAGGTAGATCAGAAAAGCTAACTTTTCTTGCAACATGCAATGGATGAGGATTTGAAGAAATCGTGGTTGATAAATTACTACTAGATGAATGGTCTTCATTAACCATTTGGTTAAAATGTACTGTACGATGTTCTGAATCAAGACAAACCTCACTAGATTTGGATGAATTAAGACTGGGGGAATCAATGGGTAACTAGGAAAAAAATATTATAAAGATTATTTTTCACACAATACATTTATTTTTAATCGAAAAACTCGTCTGAGATGTCTTTCTACTGGTTACAAATATTTCAAGAATCAGTCAAAGATCTTATTTCTAACGCTAGGTGTAGATGTTCTAAGTTAAGGGGATTCGTGCAATAATGTTAATCTACAACTGAAGACTTTTGAAATATATATTATTCATAGTTAGTATCCCACTGTATTTTAATGCTACTGCTACTCCCTCCTTACATTTTATCCATTTCCTCTCTAGATAGAAGAAATAGATTACAGCTAACAGTGGAGTCAAAGATAATCGTTTTGTCTTACTGAGGAATCGAGAATTGGATGCGCCTGGTTCATGATGTGGATGTTTACATTAGGACTCAATCTCAGTACCTTTTGCTTCAAATGCCAACGCATTATTCAGTGAGCTACGGAGTCCAGATAGCTTCTAGTTTACTAAACAGGTATGAAGTTTATAAAATCCAAATACATAATAGTAATGGCAGAAATGTTTACGCTGATATAGGTAAACTAGCCTGATGTGCACTTGTACCAGATACTACAGTGTCACAGAATAATTGAATTAACCAAAGTTTAACTTTACCGAGTTCTACAGTTCATAAAACCCTAAAACAACTATAAAATAAATAATATTGATAGATACGTATATAGATAATGGAATGTTACAAATCATGAAATCATAATGTAAGGAGATGTCCAGTCATAATTAATGTCAATCATTTAGTAATTTAAGCATAAGAATTTTTTGGATACTGTAAAATTTTCAATTTACATCACGAACTGAATTGAGATAGATCAACATCGAGAACCTGAAAGCACGAAACAGAGATTTTGTCCTAGAATGAGACTCCTCGGTAGTATGCACCCACAACATGGTCCACACCCGAGAATCAAACCTAGAACTCTAATCTTCGTGCGCGAATCCCCAATCCCTAGACTATCGAGAGGTGGGTTCAATGGTGTTAATGTCTAACTCTAGTCAATTCGAGATATCGCGCAATACTTTAATTGGGATTTAATATTTTCATATGATGAACAGACCACTACGAATTCGTCAAATGACTGTATGGTCAGTTATAGAAAGGCTGAAATGATTACAATTATTCTATGTCAAATAACTATGGAAAACTAACCAATGTGAATGAGATTGAATACACACATATGTACCTAGTTTTAAGTCATATATTTTATCCATCAGGCCTAGTATGATACAATTTGACTGTACAAACCGAAGTCCGACTGTTTTCGAATCGGTGACATAATAATGACTGGAAGTTGACTGACTAAACTACTGAGACAATTATTCTATGGACAGTAAGGCAACTACACAATGACCGAGTTCGAATTCATGCGACTAGTCGTCAACCCCAACATAGTTGATACCCTGACTGTTTGACCAAACTGAGATGTTATTTAAACACATGAATTGATGGTTCAAAGTTGTCTACCATGTTCATGAACCCATCGTGTTCCAATAAACGATTATAACAAAAGGAAAACCAGTGATTTGAGATCAAGGTTCTGTGTGAATACACCAGAAAGGTAGAAAGAAAATCCATAATACTGTAACTCCTTAACTAAATGCATGTAAAATTGAAATTAAAACATGTATTTCTAATAGGTGAATGTCAGTGTGATAGTACTAAAGCCTGAATGCCTAAACAACCATATTTTATTTATCACCAATCAATATCAATTACATTTCTTTATGCGATAGTAAATACCATAACATTAAAACAGTGATTCAAACAGCCTAGAAAAAAAGAAATCAGAACAAAACAATGAGAATCTATTTATTTATTTGAAAAAGAATTTTACCAAGTGGTAAAACACATAAATGAATACGATTTTTAAATTAGGAATAAATATACGTGTATATATAGCAGGGCATTTTATGTGAAGTCTACTGATATTACCTATTTATTTAAACCGAATTAGATGGAGAAGGGTTTCACACAGAAACCTGTAATGGTCGACAGTAAAGTGTTCTGATCACCGAAAAATCGAACCACATATATATTGTACGAAGAACAATGATACTCACTGATCATCGCAACAGACATAAATTAAACAGGATATCATTCTGAGACAAAGATACAGTGCTTAAATAATTAAGCTACCGGGCTCTACATGCAAAATTTCTAGGCGACCCATCGGTATTTAATCGAAATGAAAAACCGATCAAAGTGCATATTTTTGAAAAAAGCTATATCGATATGATTTAAGTAATAAATCACAGAATTTTACATTATGTGGTTACTTCAGTTAGACGACTATTTTAAACCAGGAAACATTGGAAAGCTATTTTTGCCTAGTACAGGAATCCTCAGTAGTAGATAACCACCACCACACCAGGAAATGAACACAACACCTTTCAGGACTCGAATAAAGTGCTTATCATGGAGATTACTAAGTTGGCATTGAATAGTTAACAATTTTAACTCTAACTATACATCCGACTTGGACTATCTATCCAAGCTACCAAATCTGATATTATTCACATTTCACACTATTATCGTACATATAAATCTTATCTTGCCAAAAAAGCCTAACATTTTTTTCATCCTAATGTACAAAAATCAACAGAGATTTTCACTATTCAGACTTCTTTATTTAACTTGCGATAGAATTTTCTTAGAATTGATAAAAGATCTGAAGAAGAATTTGTTTCATATGCTACATTTGTTAATAACCAATGCAAAACTTTTAAATTGAGCTTATTTCCAAAGGAACAACTTAGGTGTCTAACTTTTGTATGTAACTACACCTGTGGCTCTTCTGGGGTTGCTGCAGTTTCCGGGAGGATTAATCAAATGGCTACGGGAATGAGGAGATACAACTTAACGGTCCTCGGAATCAGCGAAACCCTTACTTACTTACGCCTGTTACTCCCAATGGAGCATAGGCCGCCGACCAGCATCCTCCAACCCACTCTGTCCTGGGCTTTCCTCTCTAGTTCCATCCAATTCTTGTTCATTTTTCTCATATCTATCTCCATTTCTCGGCGTAATGCGTTCTTCGGTCTTCCTCTTTTCCTTTGGCCTTGAGGATTCCATGTGAGGGCTTGTTTTGTGACGCAGTTCGGTGCTTTCCTCAATGTGTGTCCTATCCACTTCCAGCGTTTCTTCCTGATTTCTTCCTCCACTGGGATCTGGTTTGTTCTCTCCCACAGTAGGTTGTTGCTTATAGTGTCCGGCCAGCGGATCTGAAGTATTTTGCATAGACAACTGTTAATAAACACCTGTATCTTTTGGACGATGGATTTCGTAGTTTTCCAGGTTTCCGCGCCATACAGTAGAACTGTCTTGACATTTGTATTGAAAATTCTGACTTTGGTGTTGGTTGCTAATTGTTTTGAGTTCCAGATATTCTTTAGTTGTAGATATGCTGCTCTTGCTTTGCCAATCCGTGCCTTCACATCTGCATCGGATCCACCGTGTTCATCGATGATACTGCCCAAATATGTAAAGGTTTTTACATCTTCAAAGCTTCTCCGTCAATTGTGATTGGATTGTTACATGCTGTGTTGTATCGAAGAATCTTGCTTTTTCCTTTGTGTATATTGAGACCTATTGCTGCTGAGGCTGCAGCTACACTGGTTGTCTTCTCCTGCATTTGTTGTTGCGTATGCGATAGAAAAGCCAGATCATCTGCGAAGTCTAAATCATCCAATTGCATCCTAGCTGTCCACTGTATCCCGTACTTCCCTTCAGATGTTGACGTCTTCATGATCCAGTCGATCACCAGCGAAACCCATTGGACCCAAACTGGACAGAAAAAATTGGATTCAGAAGAGATGCTGTTGTACTCTGGTCATGAAGAAGTAAGTACTTCGCACACGCACGAAAAGCGCTTAAAGGATGGGAGTCTGATGGATCCAGGATCATCAAAGTATCTTTCAAAATAAAGAAGGGAATCACAATCAGTGTTATCCACACACCAATTATAACAATGAAGACGATCAGTCTTATGAGAGGCTGCAATCGATCATAGCGAAGTGCTCAATAAAGGACCTGACCATCCTGATGGGAGACCTAAACGCAAAAGTCGGGATGGACAACACTGGATATGAAGATATCATGGGACGATATGGACTGTGAGAAAGGAACGAGAATGGTGACAGATTTGCAAATTTATGTACACCCAGCAAAACGGTTATAGACGGCACAATATTTCCCCACAAACGCAAAGCTACATGGCTCTCACCGGATCACACTACAGAGAATCAGGTCGATCATCTTTGCATCAATAAAAATTTCAGATCAATGGGAAACGTGAGAACCGGGAGAGGAGCTGACATAGCTTCAGATCACCACCTGATCGTGGCTGCTACGATAAAGAAGCAATGGAGAGCTGGGGAAACAGCATTACAAAGGTTCAATATAGTCTTCCTTCGAAATCCTGACAAACTCAACGAATTCAAGATAGCTCTCAACAACAGCTACCAAGCCTTACAAGATCTACTCAAAGAAAAAGAAACTACAAGCGGAAAAAGCTACAAGGGAAGGAAATATGAGACAACTGTATGATACAACGAAGAAACTGGCAGGGAAATATGGTAAGGCAGAGAGACCGGTCAACAACAAAGAAGGCAAGCCAATCACTCAGATTCAGAACCAAAAAGGCAGGTAGGTAGAACACTTTGAAGAACTCTTGAAAAGATCAGTCCCACTGAATTCACCAGACATCGAAGCAAAACGCACAGACCTTCCTATAGATGTCATTGCACAACGGTCGAAGAAATCAACATGGCCATCAGACAAATCAACAGTGAGGAAGCAGCACGACCTGACAATATGCCACCTGAAGCGCCGAAGTCAGACATAGAGGTAACTGCAAACATGCTTCGCGTTCTATTCACGAAGATTTGGGAAGAAGAACAAGTGCCGATAGACTGGAAAGAAGGATATCTCATCGAGACACCAAAGAAAGTGGATCTCAGCAAGTGTGAGAAATACAGAGACTTCACACTACTATCGGTACCAGGAAAAGTTTTCAACAGAGTGTTGTTGAACCGAGTGGAAGATTCAGTAGACGTCCAACTTCGAGATCAACAGGCTGGACTCTGTAAGAATCGATCGTGCACACACCAAGTTGCGACACTACGGATCAATTGAATGGAATTCGTCCCTATACATTAACTTCTTTCACTATGAGAAGGCGTTTGACTTAAACGAAAACTTTAGACGACAGGGTTCTGAAAAAACATCATGATTGATTTGTTCTAGAGTGATTTTTTAGGGATGAAGAGCCTCTGTTTTTCATAGACTGAATTTCAATTTTGATTACGGTGAGACCAAATTTGGTTTGGACGATTGGACTATGGCAATTGTGGGTCAGACGCTCAGGTCGAAGGCTCGTGGTGTGGCCCCCGAAGTAAACCACCTGCTTCGGTTTGGGCACCCGGGCAGTATCACAGCCCTCACACAAATCAATTGAGATTTGTGTGGCGCATATATATTTGGTGCCTCCTTGTACCAATATCTATGTGTTAAAATAAATGAAATAAAAAATTGTAGTATTTCTAGCCTTCATCCTTTAAATAGGAATCAAAAGTTATTATGTAAACCTGTACTTGGCAAATGGAAAGGATTGTCCAGGACGGATTTCGATGGCGAATCCTGGTGGGCGTCATATGCTCCTCCTCGAATAGTAACAGGCGTAAGCAAGTAACTGTTCTATAATTCATAGCCAGTCGTCATATATCAAATGTACATTTTCAAACTAAAAATGATCTCTTCATAGGCAAACTCAATGCCAGAAGTAATGCTATGCCTACACTAACGACTAATAATCAGATGGATCTATATACTTTTATGTGTGTTGAGGACGTTAGATCCCTAGAACTCACTTGGAAATTTAAATTTCTTTGTTTTCGAGCCAAAAGCGTTCTTTTCACCTTCATGTCGTATTTCCCACTTGTCTATTCCTACCCCTATCACGTACATGACACGGCCTACTCTTCTGACCACTCGCGCTTCCGTTCATGGAACATGGGTTGCTCTGTAGTCACGGGCAAACACAGGACATCCCACTTCGTACGTGGATTGCTTTTCGGACTTTGTCTGTACTAGTGTGGATGCATTACTCGGATGCATTAGATTGTGGATGGTTTTCAGTCCTCTGCCCATCAGGATTTCTACTGGGGACTTTCGCTTTGGTACTGTGTCATTCGGTGTTGTCCGATAAACGAACAAGAAATTTTGTAACGCGTCGGCTGGTGTCCCCTCCCCCTTTGCCCTAACCAATGCTTTTTTAAACGTATACACAAACCTTTCCGCTTGCCTATTCGACTGCGGATGGTATGGTGGCGAACTTAAGTGCTTGATGGCAAGCCGTTGACAGAAAGCTTGGGACTGGCTACAGGTAAATTGCGACCCGTTGTCAGATACAATCACATCTGGTATGCCATTTCGGGAGAAAATTTCAGTGAGGAGCTGTATTGTTTTAGTTGAAGTGGGCGGCATTACAAGACTGATTTCTGACCATTTTGAAAAGGCATCGACCACAACTAAATAGACAGTCCCATTAATTGGGCCCGCGAAGTCGACGTGTATCCTGGACTAAGGATGATTAGGTTGTGGCCATGGAACTGGCGGGACTTTGGCATTCACCTTTGCTGCTTGCTGGCACCGAACGCATTTTCCAACCAACTCAGTGATATGTTGATCCATTAGGAGCCAGCATGCATAACTCCTGGCTATGGATTTCATTCGTCTAAACCCTGAATGACCAAGGTGGAACTGTTTCAGCACTTTTGCGCAAAGGGGCTCCGGCACAACCACTCCTTCTCCAAACATCAAGCAGTTGTTTACAATGCATAATGAATCCCGCCGCTGATACAGTTGTTTCATGTCACCATCCAACTTCCTAGACGGCCAACCGTTGGTGACATAGCTCATCGCCATCTTGATGATGGGGTCGTTCCTGGAAGCGCTTCGTATGTCCGTTGCAGACATCGGCAATGCCCGTATTGAAGTTGTCAGATAACATTCCGCGTGGTCTCCCCCTGACAGAGATGCGATTACCATGTTTTCCTCAGTCGCCAATTGATCATTAATGAGTCATGACAAAGCATCTGCCTGACCGAATTGTTGAGTGTGTCGGTATTAGATCTCGAAATCATACCCCAAGAGTACCAAAGCCCATCGTTGAAGACGATTTGCAGAATGGGCTGGAATTCCAGATTTCGACCCGAATATTGCGAGCAGAGGCTTGTGATCTGTGAGAAGCGTAAATCTCCCACCGTACAGAAACTTGTGGAAACGTCGGACAGCAAACACAAGTGCAAGAGCCTCTTTCTATCTGACTGTATTTCTTTTCTGTCGGGGTTAGTGTACGGGATGCATGCATAACAGCTTTTTCTGACGCGTCTGGAAACTGGTCTGAAATAACAGCACCTAGGTCATACGCTGAAGCGTCTGCAGCTACGATGATTGGCATAGATGGATTGTAGTGCGTTAACAACAATTCCGAGCTAATTATCTACTTGAGTTTACAAAACGCCGCATCATACTCTTTAGTCCAGTTCCAAGTGCAGTCCTTCTTCAGCAAACAATTCAATGAGGCGCGAATATCATGCATCGAAGGAACTAACGCTGCATAATAGGTAACAAGTCCCATGAAGGAACGTAGTGCCGAGACATTAGTGGGAGTGAGGATCAGTTTGATAGCTCGAATATCCTCAGGATTTGATCTGAGGCCGTCAACATCAAAATTAAACCACAAATAAATTTCCACATAAACTATGTTGTTGAGTGTCGACTAGCGTGAAACATATATCTAACAGTGCTTTCCACCGAATGTCTCCTATTAAAATAATAATAACTTATACGAAAATCACCATTGAATTAATAACTAAAGTATTGTTCGTCTCACCGTGTAATATTAATCAGTAGGCAGGAGTGTAATCACGTTTTTGAAAATTTATCTACTAAAACAAATGAAATTAAGTATTAAAGGCACGAAAAATACACTATTTTTAAAATAAAAACAAGACTAGATGATGAGAGAGAAAACTTAAAGAGAGGCTACTAAAACAATCATATGCTTGAGAAAAACGAAGCATGGCTATAGATAGATAAATGATTCAGCATAAACTATTGAGAAAATCACTTCTAAACAGATGTTGAACCACAGGGGATGGACATAGCGAAAGATTTAAACGATGAGCAAATGCATCATGATCTTATCATCTAAATATTACGAGAAGGATGACAGCGGCAGCGACAGGTTCATCAGGTTGGGATAATGATGTTTTATTTAAATGATTGAACAGGACAGATGTAGTAATCATTAACCGACGGGAACAATATTAATATACGGGAGAATTTATAATAGTGATGATAGGAAGAATCAATGCTAATTGGAGGAGGGCAAGGTTCGTTTAATTACCATGATCGCATCCGTTTCTAGGTCCAAAAGACTAAGAATGACAATCATCAGTGTTATGTTTAATTAATCATCATGAATGGGCTGTATAGCAAAGGTGGGAAATCAACAGCTTTGTAGGATAAAACGTTTTATGTGATGACATCTGGAGCTATTCGACCAGTGATTTTAGCTACACCGCATAATTCCAATGCTAATTCAATATGGGGTTTCAAATATTCCTTTATGAAAAAAAAATTAAAATGAATGCAGGACGGATTACATCTTATCACTATGATTATGATTAAATACAACAAACAACAATATTTCCAAAAATGTAAGAAAAACCAACAAGTAAACGCTACTGTTTGAAGTTACAGTACCTAGAACAATAATAACATCGTTTAGTTGAAAGGTTTGTGATCGATTCTGAGGCATGTCACCCACAGTCTCCAACCATTAGTTACGATAGTCACGCGGACCCCAACCAAGTAGTCGGCATCTACCAACATAACTCAGACTGGAAGATTCACAACCTCATCAACTGAATTACCATCATTCTCTAATACTCTGCGTCTAACCTCACTATTACTTACCCGTTGATCCCAGCAGACGCGGGCACTTGAGGTTGCAAAATCAGATGACAGTTCGCCATTAGCTCTGACTCGACCGGTACTTTTCGAGCAAGAAGCCTTCACAAGGTTTGTGTACTTCTGAGGTACGCCTTTCAATGACAGACACCACGACAGAATCTTGCGGTCTATAGGGTCAGAGGTAGCTTTTAAGTCAAGAAAGAACACCACCGCCGTCGATAACGTGGTATTGCGAATAGATTGAAGTCCAAATCGTACCATTGGGCACCTATCTAGTGAGGGTTTTGACGGTTAAGCTTTTATTGCAAGAACTGAATGTACTGAGGTTCGATTGCTGTTGGAATTGTGGGCGCAAAACACTAAGAAGTTCCGTACTAGGACGAAATAATTATACAGCACCATATACTAACAGAGGTCAACCTATGATAAATAAAACTTTGCATCAACTTGATTATAAACAGCTAGATCCACCATTAATCATCACCATGATGATGAAATATTCACCTACTGAAATACACATTTGGGTGATTGACAAGTCAATAATTATTACTATAATCTCGAGTTTATATTGATTATGTAGTACTGCTTATGTAATACTAGTATCTTTCATTATGCCACAAAAACAATAACAGAGCGGATTTGCATGCATAAACCACACAATCCGTGACACATGAAAATGACCTTTTCTACATAGATCAATTCGATGGTAATGCACATATTCGTGGAACTTTACACTTAACTCTGACGCACATATTTTTTTTCTTGGATTATCTCGAAAACAGGAAATATGGGTAGTCTTTGTTGTTTGTTCATGTATATTCAGTATTTTGATGTATATATTATTGTTAAACATAAAATGTGCTTTTTGCGTGTGTGTAACTTGTTAAAACGAATCCATGTATGAATACAGATGTTATTCCGCAAGAGTAACTGATCAATGAGAGTTTCAAGTATTGTTACTTACATAAGTTATCACCGCATTACCAACTTTTAAAACTGATATTAGATGAATTTGCTCATTTTCCAACTTTTATTAAGTATATATGGTGGTTAAATGTTTAAGCTAAGAGAAATTATCAGCCGCGTTAAATTAGAAAGGAGAACTTCCTGACCGAATAAATTTTAGTTTTTCGTAAACGTGAGTTATCTAAGTCACATTATCATCTTCGAATCAAGAGTTGGCCTAGATAATCCAACTGGAAAAACTTGAAAACTTGCTTGCAAATTGTAATATTCTCTAAACATGTAATAATTCATACGGTGTCGGCTTTGTTGTTTACAACCGTTTCGATTATCGTCAATTAACTCATAACTGGTCTTGATCCTCCTCAAACAGAATGATTCCTTACAGTTACCTTTACTATCATCCCGAACGTTGTTGCTACCTTGATTGGTGGTCGGGCTCGCCTATCGTGATGAAGCAACTGAGCTATACTGGCTGGAACAATCGTTCCTCAAGATCCTACCATGCCAGACAGACCGGTTGAAGAACGGTAAGACTAAAAGCAACAAATCCAAGGTCCGAAGGCGAAGTCATACTACTGACTGTACAGAGGTGTGACAGCAGTGAGATGATTCCTTCAGACAACCAGCATGACAGCGATGCTGCCTTCTCACAAGTAGGGGTGGGGTTAGAAAATGTCGACCCTAAGAATGCATACTTCGCCTTATCCCATGGATATCCGTCTCCGGCGGAACGGTCTCAACAAGTATGGAGCTAACACGAAAACTACTCACAAAAAGGTTGTGTGTGACTGGCCTCAAGTAGTTTTCCCTTGGGCATTGCGACAACACTCTCAGATCACTAAGACCGCCACTAATCCAATTTCCTTTTCATAAACCTCTAGAAGAACCCTTCCATAGTGTGCGCAAATGAGAAGTGATAACCACCCTCATACCTCTAACAGAAGTCAAGACCACTGTATCCATAATCAATTCCCCTCTTCTATTCCTATTCTTCCTCCTACATCGACGTGAAAGTCTGGATGGCGTCTGTTTCTCCTGTAAACCAATGTAAAATTACCCTGACTTACAAGGGCATATTATATAACCGTGAATAACTCTGTTTGTAGCTCTTCTAGAGTTACTGCCTGCCCCAAGCCCGGGTAAAGGAGGAGGGTTGGGCATGGGATAACATTATCAAAAATAAACATCACAACACGATTTCACCTATTAAATAATTTATTTTTATCCCATATATTATTCGCGTTGATTTTATTCTATGTAATCACACCTAGTATAACTAGTATTAGTAATAACAATTTCCTATGATGGATTAAACTGCAAAAGCTTGCATGGAGGACAGTTGACAAACTCCTTCGAAGTAGAGACGGATGTCAGGAAAGGTTGCTTACTATCACCCTTTCTCTCTCTCCTAGTGGTCGACTGAATTATGAAGATGTCAACATCTAGAGGGAAGCATTGGATACAATGGACAGCTGGCGACCCAAACTTCGCAGATGATCTGGCTCTTCTATCGCACACGCAACAACAAATGCAGGAGAAGACGACCAGTTTAGCAGCAGCCTCAGCAGCAATAGGTCTCAATATACACAAAGAGAAAAGCAAGATTCTCCGATTCAACACAACATGCACGAATCCAATCACACTTGACGGAGAAGATTTGGAAGATGTAAAAACCTTTACATATTTGGGCAGCATCATTGATGAGTACAGTGGATCTGACGCAGATGTGAAGGCGCGGATCGGAAAAGCAAGAACAGCATATTTGCAACTGAAGAACATCTGGAACTCAAAACAACTGTCTACCAATCATCACCAAGGTCGGAATTTTCAATACAAATGTCAAGACAGTTCTACTGCACGGGGTGGAAACTTGGAGAACTGCAAAAGCCATCATCCAAAAGATACAGGTGTTTATTAATAGCTGTATACGCAAAATACTTCGGATCCGTCGACCAGACACTATCAGAGAACAAATCAGATCCCAGCGAAGGAAGAAATCAGGAAGAAGCGCTGGAAGTGGATCGGACACACATTGAGGAAAGCACCCAACTGCGTCACAAGGCAAGCCCTCACATGGAATCCTCAAGGCCAAAGGAAAAGAGGAAGACCAAAGAACGCATTACGCCGAGAAATGGAGACAGACATGAGAAGAATGAACAAGAAATGGATAGAACTAGAGAGGAAGACCCAGGATAGAGTGGGTTGGAGGATGCTGGTCGGCGACCTATACTCCATTAGGAGTAACAGGCGTAAATAAGTAAGTAATAACAATAATAATATAAATCGCAACATTACTCTATTAATTTACATAATACACCGTAACGCATGCAAACTCTTCGGTGAAGTCATGAATTTGCAACAACACTGAGTCCTATAATAGGACTAAATGACTGTCTACTGATTCTTGGTTTCTAAAAGTTATCAGAACAAAATCAGACCATGATGGTAAACTATAAAATTACACATAGCAGTAGAGTATATAATACCACAAATACTTTGATACACATTCACTGTTGTGCACCACCATGAAAACACTTATAAATCCCTCTGAAAAAACTGACTAACCTGTGAAGCAATTGTATGTTTAGCTGGATCTGATTCATAAGTGTCAACATACACTCGAAGTGTTGCACCACTACTGCCTGTACCGCTTAAACGATACACGAATCGTGTTCCATCATTAAAAATTAGGCGAAAACCCTTTTTCAAAAATGAAAGTGGAAACGACAATAAGACCATGGAATCCATACAACATACATATGACGGATCATGTTTGTTAAAGTGAGAATACGGAAACAAGGATTAATATGGAAAACACATAAACATAAGCACTACTTGAATGGAACGAAGGATAAGTGGCTAGAGCGCTTGACCTCTAGCTAATAATTCCCAAGTTCAAACACTGAGCACCTAATTCGGCTCAGGCAACTAAATAGTACAATATATCCTTCAAAATTAGAGTAATGAGTGACACCCAAGTACCAGATGAATAAGTTAATCACAGGAAAAATAAAGTGAATATTACTGATAATTGTGCAAACACTAGAAATGTTTAACATATAGAGGTATAATACAAAAATTAAACAATGAGTAGTGATAGCAACACGTGGTGTGTCCATGAAGTCCGGGAATGAGGCCTCAGAAATTCACAAATAACCATTAAACTCGAGGTTCCCGGGCGAATTCGTCCTTCTAACTGCAAAGGAGTTCGGATGTAGTAAGGTGCTTCTCCTAGACAACCAGAATCCGTTGAGATACTCCCTTCCCAAAATGGAAAGCAATGGTTACCGAAAGACAAATTCGAAAATAGGTTATCCCACCTTGCCCTACGAATCCCCGTCACCTTTTGAATAGTACTAAGCAGTACTGAGACAACACACAAAACGATGGTGTATGAATGGCCAGAAACAGTTATGCTTATAGCTCTGCATTCACATAACCAGGTCTTCATGACTGCCGCTAATCCAAACATTTTTTTACATCTCACATGTAGAAGTATCCGACCACGTTGCGGGCAGTCGACAATCGACAACCACCTCATATCTCTAACAGCAGTTGATCAGAAGATTTGTTCAATTCATGAAAGTACTGAGTTACTAAGGTTGCAATTAAGCGCCCACTATCTCGAGTCTGTGAGACCTTTACAACTCGTTTCTACTTAGCTATTAAGCGATGGAATGACTGTTACATTTAATTAATCTTTTCTGTAAAACCCTGAATCAGTGTTTTATACATACCTCCTTCACTTCTATCTTTCTGTATTTATTACTCTTGGTCCCATGAGAATCCATCACCATTTGGGGACGATGACCACGGTGAAAATGTGAGGACGAGAGAAAAATTTCAATAAAGAGACTGAGGAGAGTAACTGTTAAAGACTCATTACAGATGTTTTAAATAACGGCCAGAACAGAATAAATGTATCAAGACAAAAGATGATGTGATTTAAACGTCATTCTGAACTTTGTGAAATTAGTTAGCGTATTTATTTGACAGGCAGTATAGATTAACCGATTTTGTTGTGACAGGCGGTGTCCGAAATCTGATACTGATACACGGTGTGCTATGAGTTGATCCTTCCCCAAATGACTATTTGAGAGCAAGCACAAGAGTGAGCGAGAAACTATATTGAACTACCCAATAGAACATACAAGTACTCATTCATCTATATAACACTCTAGCCCTTAAGAAATCGATCCATTTCTCAGCCAATCAAGTGCACTTGACCTTTAGGTCACTTCTGATTGCCATTGATTAACCTTCTGATTGGCTTGCCATAATACCGATCCAACATTGTTCTGTGGGAGGGGGAGAATCATATATGCAGTGAACAATGGGCAGAACATAGACACCAGAGGGCTGTCAGATTTCTCAAATAAAGCTGAAAAACTCAACTGAACACGATCAGCCGAGATCCCAGAGGAAACGAAAGAGAATATCAACCCTTCGAATTGATTCTCTTCGGTAAACTAACTCCTACGTATTCAGTTAAAAACGAGAAATGGTATGATGGGATAAAAAGACAAAACCACGTTGTTTAGTAATTGTGAATCTCACTAAACATTACTTCCATTTTTAATTCCATATGATAATTACTCATTGTAATATTTGTTTTAATTTCAGTGTGATGATTATTCAACTCCCCTTGTATCCCTTCTGAAGCTGCTGTCTGTCCCAGCCCCGGGTAAATTAGGAGGGTTGGGCATGGGGTTAGCGACCCCATCCCGTAGAAAACTAAATCGCTAAAAAGACGCTAACAAGAAAAAATAATTGAAACCATTTAAACTGCCCTGGGAGTTCGAAGGTCTTGCATTTAGAAGAATTACTACGATGATTATTCAAGATATTATATTCTTTGAATTGATTTGACGTGAACTATGTTCAGCATGACATGTACCATGTAATTATGTTAATTTCGTGTATATGACGTTTTTCTAAGTAATGATAAAGTGTGTACAAATCAATATATAAGTGAATGCATTTACGATTAGTGTCGTCATGTTAAGGTTTAGAGAATTCATGAAATTTTCGTATTCTAATTAAGCAATATTTAACTTAATGAATGCAAAATGCTACCGAAATCATTTAACATTTTATTCACGTCTAATATTTTGATGATGGTGTCAATGTACATAAATGAACAGATCATATACGTTAGAAATTATAATTATTTGAGAACTCAAAAAAAACATTAAACAAATTTATATTTCCCTCTCACCCTACCTTGTATACAAAAAGAATATATATATATATATATATGTTATACGCACATCTAATATTATCTGGTACATAAAAAGATATTATCCAACTGTCTAACTCATGAAAAAATTTATACATATAGTGGTATTTGAACACGCTCAAACTAATAATGGTTGAAAGCTCACTGAGTGATTTAATAATTATGCCATTCTACTTAGAAAATGGATAGAATTATGCTCTTTGCAAAACTTGAAGTGGAGGTCACAGATTTGTATTGTTGGGAATTTCGAAGATCGAAAATGCAATCTATTTGCCGAAAATCAAACGATCTAAGAGCAAGGACACTTCTCGCTCAATCACTTCGCTACAGGCAATTACCTTTACAGAATCTGATCTCATGTCGACGTCAGAACATCAATGAGATAAAAATTTATTTAGAAATCATAAGACTATGTTTATGCGAATATATAATTTCACATACTTGATTTGTTGTGTGACTTCCATCAACTGGATCCACATATGAAAAATTATCACAAAAATCACAAACGAACTGTCGTCCACTGACAGTGGTATACACATGACCTGATATTCTATTATTGCCAACTAAATTCTTTAATTCATTCATAATTTCATCACCTTGACTTAATTCACAATTTTCATAATCGTATCTACAACAAGGACGACAATCATAAAAGAAAACATGTAACTGGCATTTTTTTACGGACATAGTTTGACTCTTTGAACATTTATTTGCTTTGATTTTCTAAATAATTGATGAACTAAAAAGCTGTTATTTTTCAATAAACAAAATATTTGTTCACCAATTAACATCTGCTACCTTGACATGGACATGAACATCGTAAAAACTCAACCAAGTTATATTGGTCGGAACGCTCGTTTCTTAGAAATGATTATTACAAGCAGAGGGGTTAGAGATGAGTCAGATTAGAATCGTTAAACTCGAGGTTCCCGGGCGAATTCGTCCTTCTAACTGCAAAGGAGTTCGGATGTAGTAAGGTGCTTCTCCTAGACAACCAGAATCCGTTGAGATACTCCCTTCCCAAAATGGAAAGCAATGGTTACCGAAAGACAAATTCGAAAATAGGTTATCCCACCTTGCCCTACGAATCCCCGTCACCTTTTGAATAGTACTAAGCAGTCAGTCAGCTGCAACGTAGGACCAGACACGTATATGCATCGGCCCAAGTTGCCATACCGCATTAGCACAACAAGATGAACACCGGATTCATAGGAGTAGTTAATTCAGTGGTGGTAATATATAGAAGAAAGATTGTGTATAAGGAGATAGTAAAGGAAGAAAGAATTAGTTCCTAGACAGATATGAAGCGATTTTAATCTCTTAATTTAAGGAAGACAGAGAGTGTATACACCGACGCCATTGTGATCGATTCTGAGCCATGTCACCAAGAGTCTCCAACCATTGGTTACGATAGTCACGCGGACCCCAACCAGGCAGTCTGAATCTCCCAACATGACTCAGACCAGAAGTTAGTGACTTCAAGCACTGATGCCACGTTTTGGTTTGGCCGCCCCTAACTTTCTTCCAATTGTCCCCTGCACAAGTCAGCATTGCGCGTCGTGGTAATCGGTGTTCAGGCATACGCAACACATGGCCCAACCATCTCAGTCGATGAAGATTCATAACCTCATCAACTGATTTACCATCATTCCCTAATACCCTGCGTCTAACCTCACTATTACTTACCCGGTGATCCCAGCAGATACCCGCAATATTTCTAAGGCACCTGTGGTCAAATACTAGTAACTTACGAATATCTTCCACTATTAAAGGCCATGTTTCGCCTTCGCCATAGGTGACGTAAGTTGGCAAAGGCCAAGCGAGCTTTTCGAATCCGTGCTGAGATTTCGTCAGACACCAACCCATTAGGGCTGATCAGACTTCCAAGATAAGTGAAGTTGTCAACGCGTTCGACTACTTCACCCCCTATCCTTAGTTCAGTTGTTGATGCAGACCAGTCCTGAAGCAACAACTTGCATTTAGGGGGAGAAAAACGCATCCCAAACATTCTAGCATTGTTGCTCAGTGCTACCAAAATACTCTGCATTTCATCAGCGTCTTCACCAAACAGGACTATGTCATCTGCGTATTCTAAGTCAATAAGTGGACCTCCTGGTAGGAGATCAATACCCGAGAAGTCAGTCGATGAGAGCGTTATTTCCATCAGGATGTCTATGATAAAGTTAAACAAAAAAGGAGAAAGTGGACAGCCTTGACGGACGCCACTTGAGGTTGCAAAAGCAGATGACAGTTCGCCATAGGCTCTGACCCGACTAGTAGTGTTCGAGTAAAGAGCCTTCACAAGGTTTATGTACTTCTGAGGTACGCCTTTCAATGACAGACACTGCCACAGAACCTCTCGGTCAACAGAGTCAAACGCTGCTTTTAAGTCAAGGAATACCACCATTGTCGGACGCCGATAAGTATGCCTGTGTTCTAGAACCTGACGAATGGTGAATATGTGGTCGATGCAGCCATGACCAGGTCTGAAGCCAGCCTGATTTTCACGTGTTTGCAGTTCACGAGTCTTAGTTAGGCGTCCGATAATTATCGAAGCTAGTATTTTAGATACTATATTAGTCAAACTAATCCCTCTATGGTTGTCACAGGATGATTTTGACCCTTTCTTATATATTGGGACGATAAGTGATTGTGACCAGTCAGAGGGGATAACATCTAACTCCCAGATTTTAGCTAAAATATTAGTCAACCTAATCGCTAAGACTAGACCACCATCCTTAAAGACCTCTGGGGCCAATCCATCTGGACCAGCTGCCCTTCCTCGTTTCAGATTAGCTATAGCCTTTTGAACTTCAGCTAGAGTTGGGGGACCTACTTCAATGTTCCATTCACACTGTCTGGGAATAGAGGGTAGTTGTAGAGTAGCTGAAGGCCAGCTAAACTGCTCCTTAAAGTGTTCCGCCCATCGTTCTAAGCGTCTGGACTGGGAGCAGATGAGAGTGTCGTCTTTTTCCGAAATGGTCTGACTTACACTTGATTTATTAATTTTAGTTTCTTTTATTAGTCTGTAGAGTTGTCTTGTGTTCCCTATAGCCGCCGCCTTTTCCATCTCTTTTGCTTTCGTTGCCCACCACTGCTCACGATCATTCCTTAGACTTTTGCTTAATCTAGATTTGATTTCTTTACGCTCTTCATCGTATTCAAAACCTGATGGGATGAGTTTGCGAGAATCTATCAGTGCAATAGACCTTGACGAAATCCATTGGTTTTTTGTAACCCTGTGGTTTAACTCACTGGTAGATGTCACTGCTGTTTCCACAGCTGCTTGTATAACTTTCCAAGCAACATCTGGGTCAGTCTCGTTTTCAGAACTACCTAAGTGTGACCTCAGTTGTTCCTGGAACCTACTTTTGGCTTTCTCATTACTCAATTCGGTTCTAATGAGTCTTTTTTGTGTGGCTCTTTTGCGTCCAGTGAGGCGCAAGCAGATGCGTGCTCGTACTAGGGCATGATCAGAGTCCAAGCAGGTACCCCAGAATGAGCGACAATCTTCTATTGACCCTCTCCAACGATGACTGATGGCAATATGGTCTATTTGAGTCCATCGTTGGTTTGGTGCAGGGGGTCGCCATGTTAGACGATGTCTCTCCTTATGCTTAAAATTTGTGTTTGCTAAAAATAAACGATTGTCTGAGCACAGTTGCAGCAGACGATCACCATTATCTGTTCGCTGTGCCGGAATACTAAAATACCCACCTAAATGTCTTTCTGTTTTGTTTAAGCTACCTACCTGGGCATTAAAGTCACCTCCTACGAGTACTATGTCTGAACGTTTAGCTTTCTGAAGAAGTTCAGACAGCTTTCTGTAAAATTCATCTTTCACTTCATCCGAACTGCAGTCAGTGGGAGCGTAGGCAGAAACGACGAAAAGGCAACGACGTGTGTCCCTATCCTTCCGAGTTCTTACCGAGCCGTTTAGCCGAACAGCGCATAGACGACTGTTAACGGGGATCCACTCTAATAGCGCTTGTTCCGCCCTCATGCTAAGTGCTATGCCTACACCTGCCAGTCCACGAGAACTAGCCATCGGGTCGCCAGATACACGGAGGGTGTATCTCGTTGGCTCTCCGTTTTGCCGAGGTGAGGTCAAGTGAATGACCACACTAGGATCCTGTATGCGTGTTTCGGAGACACAGCATACATCAATGGTACGAGATTCTAAGGTTTTAGCCAAGGAAGCCTGCTGACCGATTTGGCATAGTGTGCGTACGTTGAAGGCTCCAATGTATAGTTTGGAGCGAGGTTTCAGTAGACCTGGGACAGTGTTTTGAGCATTACAATCGTTGGCTGTGGTGACACTTGAGGAGGAAGCTAATAGAGGAAGTTTAGTGTATAAAGTCGATGTAGGAGGAATAATAGGAATTGAAGAGGGAGGTTGATTATGAATACAGTGGTCTTGAGTGCTGTTAGAGGTACGAGGGCGGTTATCACTTCCCGGTTGCCCACACCGTGGAAGGGTTCTTCTGGAGGTACCTGAAAAGGAAATTGGATTAGAGTTGGTCATTGTGACCTGAGAGCGTGACCGCAGTGCCCAAGGGACAGCTACTTGAGGTCGGTCACACACAACCTTTTTGTGAGTAGTTTTCGTGTTAGCTCCATACTTGTTGAGACCGTTCCGCCGGAGACGGATATCCATGGGATAAGGCGAAGTATGCATTCTTAGGGTCGACATTTTCTAACCCCACCCCTACTTGTGAGAAGGCAGCATCGCTGTCATGCTGGTTGTCTGAAGGAATCATCTCACTGCTGTCACACCTCTGTACAGTCAGTAGTATGACTTCGCCTTCGGACCTTGGATTTGTTGCTTTTAGTCTTACCGTTCTTCAACCGGTCTGTCTGGCATGGTAGGATCTTGAGGAACGATTGTTCCAGCCAGTATAGCTCAGTTGCTTCATCACGATAGGCGAGCCCGACCACCACGTCAAGGTAGCAACAACGGTCAGTACTGAGTCAACACACAAAACGATGGTGTATGAATGGCCAGAAACAGTTATGCTTATAGCTCTGCATTCACATAACCAGGTCTTCATGACTGCCGCTAATCCAAACATTTTTTTACATCTCACATGTAGAAGTATCCGACCACGTTGCGGGCAGTCGACAATCGACAACCACCTCATATCTCTAACAGCAGTTGATCAGAAGATTTGTTCAATTCATGAAAGTACTGAGTTACTAAGGTTGCAATTAAGCGCCCACTATCTCGAGTCTGTGAGACCTTTACAACTCGTTTCTACTTAGCTATTAAGCGATGGAATGACTGTTACATTTAATTAATCTTTTCTGTAAAACCCTGAATCAGTGTTTTATACATACCTCCTTCACTTCTATCTTTCTGTATTTATTACTCTTGGTCCCATGAGAATCCATCACCATTTGGGGACGATGACCACGGTGAAAATGTGAGGACGAGAGAAAAATTTCAATAAAGAGACTGAGGAGAGTAACTGTTAAAGACTCATTACAGATGTTTTAAATAACGGCCAGAATAGAATAAATGTATCAAGACAAAAGATGATGTGATTTAAACGTCATTCTGAACTTTGTGAAATTAGTTAGCGTATTTATTTGACAGGCAGTATAGATTAACCGATTTTGTTGTGACAG